CTAAGGGACCAGCAGAGGGAGACAGACACCGCGTCCAGTGCCAGCTCCCGGGCCAGGGAGCGGGCTGAGGACCTGCCACCGCGCTAGGGGCAGGGGCAGAGAAGGCGCCACCCTGGCTGAGATGGGCTCGCTACGGTGCGTGTGTGTATGTGCGTGTGTGTGCGTGTGTGTAGGAGGAGTTCTCAGGGAACTGGCCGGGGGGCTACTGGTTGAGGACAGGGTGACTACAGCCCGGCCGCCTGCCTGTGTGACCTTACGCAACCCCTGCTTCTGTTTCCAGGGTTCAGTAGCAGCCGGACGCCCCTATTTCAGGAGAATCAGCGGTGCGCGGCGAGCAGGGGCCCGGAGCCCCGCGGCTTACACAGCCTGCACTCACCACCGCCTCTGCGCCCTGCCGCCCCGGGGGCCTCCTGGAGGCAACGCTGTCCCTGCTGAGCCCGGGGTCCGAGGAGCCCAGGGAGCCACATCCCCAGTCCTACTGCAGTCCCCTTGCCCCGCCCCGCCAGCCCCGGGCCCCGGGCGGAGGCTGGGTGTCTCCCAGCCACACTGTAGGCCAAGGCATCCATTGCAGGTGCTTCAGGAAGCCTTTGGGGGTGACGGGAGCCCACAGGCCTGCGTGCCAGCCCCTGCTCAGCCCGCCTGTGGCCTCCTGTTTGCCTCTCCCTGCCCCCGCAGTCATCCCTACTGTCTCCCGCCCCCCGCTGTGACCTTGCACCTTCTTTTGCACCTTTTTTTTTTTTTTTTGACAGGCAGAGTGGACAGTGAGAGAGACAGAGAGAAAGGTCTTCCTTTGCCGTTGGTTCACCCTCCAATGGCCACCGCGGCCAGTGCGCTGCGGCTGGCACACCGCGCTGATCCGATGGCAGGAGCCAGGTACTTCTCCTGGTCTCCCATGGGGTGCAGGGCCCAAGCACTTGGGCCATCCTCCACTGCACTCCTGGGTCACAGCAGAGAGCTGGCCTGGAAGAGGGGCAACTGGGACAGAATCCGGCGCCCCAACCGGGACTAGAACCCGGTGTGCCGGCGCTGCAAGGTGGAGGATTAGCCTAGTGAGCCGCGGCACTGGCTCTTCTTTTGCACCTTTAAAAAAGTTTTATCTTACTTATCTGAAAGGCAGAGTTACAGAGAAAGAGACAGAGACTTAGAGAGGTCTTCCATCCGCTGACTCACTCCCCAAATAGCTACTACAGCCAGGGCTGGGCCAATCTAAAGCCAGGAACGTCCACCAGGTCTCCCACGTGGGTACAGGGGCCCAGGGACTTGGACCATCCTCCGCTGCCCTCCCAGGCACACCAGCAGGGAGCTGGGTCGGAAGTGGAGCAGCCGGGACTCGAATCAGCGCCCCCACGGGATGCCGGTGCTGCAGGCGGCAGCTTCACTCACTGTGCCACAGCGCCAGCCCCATTCTGAACTTCTTAAGTTCCTGTCTCAGTGGGCTGACGGCGTCACGGTCAACGCTGAAACGAGGAGGGGGCCCCAGGGGAAGGCTGCCGTCACTGCCTCTGTTCCACGGAGCGGAGGCCGAGCCTGGTCCAAGGTCACGCACTGGTCCCGCGAAGCCTCCCGCTGCCCACCAACAGAGGGGGCAGCGACCCTGCCCGCCTCTGACCCCCACAGAGCCCAGCCAGTCTGGAGAGAGCTGTGAGAAGCCTGGGGAAGCGGAGGGCAGGAGGAGGAGCGGCAGTGACTCAGCAGGCCCGGATAAGGATCTCCCGGCCCAGGGAGAGGTAACCCCACTCCTCTGCCAGGGAGATGGAGCCGGAGTCACAGGGCCTGCGGCACGGGTGGGTCAGGGTGCCGGAACACCCTGGGAGGATGGCAGGGACAGCCCCTGGCAGGCCAAGGAGGAGGTGAGCACCTGGGGGCGTCCCTCCTGCTCCTGCCCTCTTCACACACCCAGCACCCAGCCGCCTGGCCAGGGCGAGGCAGGCAGCAGGACCCGGTCCCTCCCACCTCCTCTCTGGCTTTGGGGGTGGGGTGGGGTGTCCTCTGGGAGGCCTGAGCTGGGCCAGGTGTGGGTTGGGCCATTGTCAAGGTAAAAGAGGCCTCTGCCCCGGGGTTTCCGCTGACTTCACGGCCAGCTCAGGGTGAGGCAGTGCCCTGGGGCTCCTGCAGGCTGCAGGGGAAGGGAGGGTGCTCCGTGCTGCCCTCCCCTCCTCCAGCCCCAGGCCCGCGTGCCCAGAGCGCCTGGGGCCCCGGGGGCCACCTGGAAGCAAAGGCGAGCCCTGGCCCTGGTCCTGCGGGTGGGTGGCTGGCTGCTTCCCGTCCCCCGATTCCCAGCTCAGAGTCACAGCTGGGCTCACCAGCGTGCTTGGCTCTGGCCTGCGAGCACCGGGCCCCCGCGTCCCCGTCAGCCGGTGTCAGTGGAGATGGGGGGCGGGCAGTCCCCTCCGAGGCAGGCCAGGACTCTCCAGGCACTCAAGGAGCATCTCGGTGACCTGAGGCAGTAGCTGTGCCCCTGCACGGCCTGGGGACTCAGCCAAGTCTTAGGGGGAGTCAAAGCCCTCTTCTCCGCACCCGCCCCTTCCATTCCCCGGAGCCCCCTGCCCCAGGCGGCCACCTGCACGGCGCAGCTGAGGGCTCCCGGCCTGGTTCTGCCCCTGCCAGGCTGTGACCTGAGGCAGGTGGCTCGGTCTCCCCGGGCCTCCGTGCTCCCGTGATGGCGCCCGCCTCACTGGGGCCCTGTGGAGAGGCCATGGGAGGCCCGGGGAGAGCCTGAGCAGCTAAGCCCGGTCAGGGAGAAGTCAGTGTTGAAGCAGAGCCCCAGTCCGCGGGAAGGCGGCGGTGCCGGGGCCACTGGGGGAGCCCTGCTGCACCCTTATGGGGGGCGGTGCTTGGCACGCAGGTCCTCAGGGAACAGAGGAACATGTCAGTGAGCGCCCCTACTCACCTCTGGGGGCGTCTCCAGCTCACACCCTTGCTGGTCCATCAGGAGGGGCCGGGCTCGCCTGCACTGGTGTTCCGGGGCCCCTGAGTCTCGGGGGGGATGCAAGCTGCAGCCAGATGGAAGGGGAGAGGGCGGCGTGGGACACCCGCCAGCCCCTGAGCCAACGCTGACTCACCTGGTGCCTGCTCTGCCCTCCACCCACCCCAGTCCTTGGGCCTGGCCTGCCTCCGGCTGTGGACAGGAAGGCCTGCAGTCCAGCAGGCCAGAGAAGGCAGGGAACCCGCGCTCCCCTCCTCCGCTCACCCAACACCCACCGTGCCGGGAAGAGGGCAGAGAGAGGTGACGGGCTTGTCCCGGGCCACCCTGGCCAACTGGGAGCCAGGCGTCCAGCTCCCCGCGATGGCCCTCTGCCAGCTCCAGCCGGCGCTGCTCTTCCCGCCCGGTTCTGACGCCCCCCCCACTCCAGGCAGCTCTCCCATCCTCCCTGGCCCCAGAGGCACCCACTACCACCTGCAGGGAGGGAGGGAGTGTCCCAAGACTGCAAAACCCTTGAAGGCAGGCTGGTGTTCTTTGTCCCCTCTGTCCTTCACGGTGCCAGCACAACGCACCACAGGACAGTGGGCAGCCAGGACGGCCCTGAGAGCCACGGCGGTGCAGGAGCTTTCCCGGGGCCCCCAGCTAGGAATCGGAGGCAGTCACTTGTCCTGCCCCAACCCACGAAAACCCTGTGGGATCACCCAGCTCCACCTCGCCTTTCTTCCCTCTCCCCGATCCCAGTGGGGATCGGTGACTCCGGCCCCCACCCCACCCCAGCTGGCAGCTCCTAGCCGGCTGCCTTTGCCCAGACATGGCAGAGGGGCACTGGAGGCCTGGAAAGGGAGTCGCTTTTCTCTTTGGCAGTGTGGAAGGGGGGAGGGGAGATGCCCGTCCCCCCCCCCCCCGCCCCGAGCGAGGGGAGAGGGCAGAGATGCAAGTCCGGAGAGGCCTCTCCCAGCTTGTGGGGTCACCACACTAGGACTCAAAGACAAGCCGGGAGGTCGGAGTTGCTGTGTGTAGGACAACTGTCCCTGCAGCCACCTGGCCGGTCCTAGCTCAGGGCCACAGCCTTCGGTTCCCCCAGGACTGCCCAGGCGGTCTACTGGGGCAGCCCGGCAGGCACCCGCCCCGCGCCCATCCCTCCTCTTCCTCCTCCTCCCCCCTCCCTCACTCCCACCCATTTGCCTCTGCGTCTCCTCTTTCCTCCCCGGGTCCCTTCTCCCCTCCTTCTCCAGCGCCCCCTGCCTCCTTCCCCTCTCCCGGCCCCTCCTCCTCTCTGCTTTGGGGCTGCTTTCTCCCTGACTCAGCAAGGTGCTTTATAAGGTGCTGAGGGGGCTCCGCCAAATCCAAACCACATTGTCTGTGCAGACACGGGCTCTCCACAAGGAGCTGCGGCAGAGGGGAGCCGGCCGGGAGCTGCTGCCCGCTGCCCGCCCCGGCTGCCAGGGGCACCTCCTGGCCGGCCTTGGAGCCAGGCATCCAGGGGCATCTGCCTCCTTGACCTTGGCATGGGCATCAAAAGATTGTTGGGCTCGCCAGCCAAGAATGTCACTGAAACTCCAGAGTCCTGGCTGGGGTGGGGTGGGGTGGGGAGGAGGTGGGGGGTCCGGGCACTTTTCACAAAGGCCCCTCCAAGCTGCTACGGATGCCCCAGCGAGCCCCCTGCCCCCCGCCCAGGCCAGCACTCCATTCCCAGCTCATTTTCTCCTTGTTTAGGAAAAAAAAAGAAAGAAAGGAAGGAAGGAAGGAAGGAGAGAGAGAAAAAAACCCAACCCAACAACAAAGTCTGTCCCACTCCAGTGAGGTAATTGAAAACAAACCTCTCCCCCCCCGACCCCCCCACCCCAGTCCTCTCGCGGTGCAGAGAGGGAAGAGCTGCCCTGGGAGCCCAGCACTGGCCATGGCCAGGCTGCCTGCTCGCACCCACAGGCTGCAGGGGCTGGGGCGAGGCTGCCGGGGGCCCTCCTGTCCCGGGGCGGTGGGGGGGCAGGGCAGGCGTGGGGTGAGCCAGGCAGCACCTTCCAGGTCTGGCCCACCGCCCGCCCGCCTCTCCCCCTTTGGAGCAGCACCGTAACAACAAGAGCCACTCATTGCCGATGACTTAATTGGCGGCACAGCTCCGGTGCACCCAAGCCTTGGGGACCAAGTGACTGTCCCCCCCACTCCAGAGGAAGACCACAATGCGGGGCTGCCTGCAAGCCCCGCACAACAGCTGCTTCCTCCGTGCGCTCTCCCCGGCGGCCCGCTGGAGAGGGAGGGAGGCGGAGGAAGGGAGACCCTCCGGGGAAGGTCCAGGCTTCTGGGTCCCTTAGGTATTCCGCCCAGCACGTCCCAACCCAGGCCTGAGGGAAGGCAGGGGGAGAGTGCGCCACCGCCAAACCACCCCTACCTCACCACCGGAAAAACCCAGCAACCCCAAACCCCAGAGGAAGGAGGGCGCCAAATGTCTTCATGAAAAGCCATTCACAACCGGGGCCGCTCGCTCTGTCCATGGCCCTGACTCGGAGCGTTCCCCGCTGAGTCACCCGCGAAGCCTCTGGTGTTGAAACTGGTCCGGTGCCTCCTGTGATTAATGAATTACAAGTCCCCCACCCCGTGCACTCGGCTGGTCACAGGGAAGAAGCAGAGCCTCGGGAACTGGAGGGGGCGCCGGCGGTGGGCCCTGCCCGGCCCCCTGGGGGCACTGCAGGCCAGTCAGTCACCTGCCCCAGCCCGGCGCCTCGCGGGGCTCCAGCTTTGGGAAACGGGACTGGCGGCGGGACAATAGCAAGGGGGGCGGTCAGCGCAGACAAAGGGCAGCAGGAAAAAAGCCATCACTTGCTCCGAGGCCAGCTCGCTGGCATTTGGGAGAATGTGTCACTGCGTTTACTCAAGGGGGAGGGGAGGCTGGAGATGGGGGGCAGAGGTAGGGTGGCAGCAGAGACCCCGCACCCGGCGAGGGGCCCGGGGCAGGCACCCCAGGCCCACCGAAGCGGGAAGCCCACCCCAGGCCGCGCGCTGCACGGGCCCTCGGGGCTCTGCGCGCCGACGGGTGCCCTCCCCGCCCCCTCCCCGAGGAGGCCCGGGTGGTACCGCGGCAGCCTCGCCTCACCTCACCCCCCCTCGGTGCAGTGGGAGGGAGAGGAGCCCCAGAAGCCCTCCCTTCCCTCCTCCCCCCGCCTCCCCCACCCCGGGGAGGGCCGCTACAATTTGCGGTTACAGCTTTACACGTCAGAAAAAAAAAAAAAGTTTGCAGAATGTCCCACACCGAAAAAAAAAAATCCGAAACCGAGCGAAAAAAACCTGCGAGTGGGCCTGGCGGATGGGATTATTAAAGCCTCGCCGGAGCCGCGGCTCGCCCTCCCGCTCCGCCAGCCTCTGGGAGAGGAGCCGCGCCCGGCCGGCCCGGCCCCCGGCCCCATGGACCTCCGAGCAGGTAGGAGCCAGGCGTCCGAGGCCCCGGCCCCCGCCCCCGCCGAGCAGCCGCGAGATCCGGTTCCCGTCCTCCCGCCCGCCCCCGGGGAGCCCCGCGCCGGGGCCGGGCCGGGGAGCAGGGCTCGGGCCGGGGGAGGCACTGCCGGGCGCCCTCGAGAGGGGCCGGGCGGGGACGCGGCATTCCTGGGCTCCGCTCGGCGGCGCAGGAGGTGGCGGCGAGCGCGGCGGGCAGCCCGGACGGCCTGCAGACCTGGGGAGGCGGCCACCTGGAGGGGACCCGCGGACCGAGCCCCGCGCAGAAGTCGGGGCGGGCGAGTCCGCGGCGCGAAGGGAGGAGGGGGCTGGGCGGGGAAGGGGGCCGAGGCCGGGCCGCCGGGCGGCGAGGGGAGGCCGACACCTCGGGCCGCGCCGCGCTCCCTCCCCGGCCCGCCGGGAGGCGAAGGCGGGCGGGAGGGAAGAGGGCGGGCGAGAGGAGAGAGGAGGGCTGAGGGCAGCGCCAAGCCCGGCCACGCCGGGCCGGGCGGGCCGGGCCCCGGGACGCTGCACGCTGCGCGGCCGGAGCCCTCCGTGCTGTCCACGGCCCGGGCGCCGGCTGCAGGTAGGGGCCAGGCAGCGGCCTCGAGCCCCCGGCCCGCCGTGGCCTGGGAGTGATTACCGCGAGGCGGGGGGTGGGGGGGGGTGGGGGGCGGGCGCAGCCCGGCCGGACCCGGCAGGAAAAAGTCCGTCACCGGCCGCGGAGCGCCGAGAGCTGCGGGGAGCGGCGGGAGCGGCCGCCCGGCCCCGCGGTCCGCGGGAAGGAGGCGGGCAGGGCAGGGAGTTGTCGCGCGGGAAAGGGCAGCGCCGGGCCGAGCCCCGGAGCCCCGCGCTGCGGACCCGCCCCCGCCCCCGCCGCCGGGAAGGGAGCGACCGGGCGGGAGCGGGCGGGGGGCGGGGCCGGGGGCGCCGGGGCCACACAGGGGGAAGGCGCCGCCGCCGCCGCCGCCGCCGCCGCCGCCGGGAGGGGTCCGGGAGCGAGGGGTCACCCCCGAGGAGGAAGGGCCGGCGAGCGGCCGCCGCTGCAGCGTTCCCCAGCTGAGCCCCACGAAAGAAACCCAAGCCCCCTGCTTCGCCGGAGCCGCCTTGTCTGCTCTCCCCACTTTCCTTAGCTAGTCCTCGCAGCCCCCCAGTCCCAGACGACCCGGGTTCCCCCCCGGGCCGGCGTGGCCCGCCCGCTTCGGCGTGGGAAGGGGCTGCCCGGGGAGGAGGGGGAGGCCGGCTGGTGCCGGCCCGGGCTGAGCCGTCTGAGCCTTGGAGAGGGGCTGGGGCCGGGGGTGTGGGACACACCTCTCTCCAGGGCGGCTTCTCTCCCACACCCGGACGCCGGGGCGGCTGTCGGAGCTCCCGGGGACGCAGGTACCCAGGCTCTGGAGGCCCATAAGGGCTCACTCAACCCGCCCTCTCGGTCAAGAGGATGAAGAGGAGCAGAAAATGCAGGCAGATTTCGTGTTGCTCTTCCGCACAGAACTGCTCCTCTGTCCCTGGCTAACTACACATTTCCTTCTCGCGCGGTCCCACCTGCCCGGGCGCCGGCTCCGGCGCGCCCACAGCCCCTCCCACCCGCTGGCCGCACTCTGGATAACAACACCCTTCCCCACTCACCCACACACTGGCCTGGACTACTCACTGCTCGGCTGCCCCCTGCCTCTGGCTTTCAGCTGGCGGCTGGGCTCCCCCCTGCACACCCAGGGCCCTCTGGCGGCACGATCCGGAACCCTTTCCCTCCAACCAAAAGCCGGCCGCCCGCGTCTGTCACGGCTTCACAAGGCAGGGGCTGGCCCGCCCTCTGCCTCGCTGCTGGGACCCGCGGTTCTTCTCTGTCGCCGGCCGGAGGAGAGGGGCAGGGAGGGGATGCGGGAGGCCCGGCGGAGCGAGCCGCACATGTTTCCGCTGGGGAGGACTTGAGCGTGCATGGTGCGGGTGGCCAGATGGGCTGGCGGCAAAGCTGGGTCTCCTGGCTTCCAGGCCATGTGTCCCGACTCACACGCCCACTTTCGGAGCCAGCGGATGCAGAGATGGGAAGGCGGGGCGGGAGCCCCCCACCCCGCCCCGGCGACTTCCTATACTCCCAGTGCTGGGCCCCCACACCGCAGCATGCCGGCACCCCCGGAGCCCTCCCGTCCCCCTGACTCCCTCACAGAGCCCCCCAGCGTCCCCCAGGTGTCCGTCCGGGTCTGGCTCCCATATTTAGCTCGGCCTGCAGCCCCTTGCTCCATCTCCAGGACCTTCCTGGCTCCCAGCTCTTAGCCCCCAGCCCCAGTGCTGACTTGTCCTGGCGCTCTAAGCCCCCTGGACATCTGTGCCGCTGAGCCCCCCGACCAGCAGCGAGGTCAGCCTTGGCGGATGTAGGCCCCGGGACCAGGGCAGTGACGATGAGACGTGTGCAGGGGTGTGCCCCCTATGCAGCCGTGTCAGGGTGGCCCTGCGCCTGCACTGGGCTAAGGCTCTGCGTGTGTGTTCACGAGGGGGCCTCGGTTCCCAGGGCCCAGGGATCTGGATGGAATTAGGGGCTGGCCCGGGTGGGGGCCAGGATGGGGGTGGGGGGCCTGCAGCAGGAAACGTGAGCTGCACTCATTAGCTCCTCACGTGCTCAGCTGGATTTATAAACACAAGGAGAAGACGGGATGTAAACAATCGTGGGCAGCAGCCAGAGGCAGAGCTGGGGTGGGGGCTGGGCCCCTGAACCCGGGCTTGGGAGAAGGAATACGAGCCCCGCCCCGTGGCGGGCTCCACCTGCACACCCTGAGCCTGGACAGGATGGATGGATGGATGGAGACTCCAGAAAGCCCACCGTGAGGCAGGGTCCCACTGCTCAAATCGCAGGTGTTCCCTGCTAGGCAGCCTGAGGCACGGGCGTGGAAGCCGTCATCCCAGAGGGCAGGGCACTGTCCACGGACCGCCCCTTTGTCGGCTCCCCTGGGATTGCAGAGCCTCCTTCTCTCTCTCCGCTCTCCCGGGCCAGTCGTCAAATCCTCCTGCTCTCTCCTCTGCCCGCCCCCCCCCCCCCCAGCCTGCAGTGACACAGTTACCTCAGAACTGAAATATTCCTGGAAACACCGGCCTCGTCTGGTTAATTTCATGAGCCGTTTTTCTGCCCAGATGACTTAGCTCGTGTTTATCCAAAGGCTTCTCCCTCTGCTGTCCTGCTGCAGGGAGCTGGTCCTCCCCAGGGATGCCCTGCAGTGCCCAGGATGGGAGGGGGCAGGCAAAGCTGGGGGCTGGGATCCAGGCCACAGCCCCCACCAGAGGACAGACAGCCCAGCGACAGGGTGGGTGCAGAGGCGAGCCCAGCTCCCAACTCCTGCGTTAGCTGGGACCCTCCACGGGGCCACCGACTTCGAGCAGGGCCAGACCAGATCCTGCAAGCGACCTCCAGGCCGGACGGGCTGCTGCCGGTCTCCAAAGCCAGCCCATGGGTACCCAAGGAGCCCAGAGGTGACTGCGGCCAGCCCGGGGCTTTGAGAGGGGAAGGGCCTGCAGTTGTGAAGAGCAAACGGTCTGTCAAGAGCAGGGGGCGGAGAAGAGAATGCGGGGTGGGGGGAGCCCTGGCTGCAGATGGGGACAGGGCGGAGAGGAGCCCCCCAGCAGAGCGCCTGCCCTACTGCGCCCACCCCTGAAGAGCAGGGTCCCTGTGACCGATGCCACCACCGCTCTCGGGCTGCGTCCGCACCTGAGAATCCAGACTGGCCGGCTGGACCACTGCAGAGGTCCCACTGTCCCCTGTGCTCTGCGAGAGACATTTCCGACCACTGCAGTCCTGAGCCCTCGCCGGCTCCTAGCCCTGAGCCGCCCCCAGTTCCGCAGCGTTAGTTCTCATCCTCACGCGGTCAGGTCGGTACACCCGCCATCAAAGCGTAACCTATAGACTGGAGGGAGGCAGGCACTCGTGACCTGACACCTGTCCAAGCTTAACACCAGACCAGCCCTGCTCTCGGTGACACGCCAGGCAGAGCCCCATCTGACGTCTGCATCAACAACCTTGCGGGCCCTGGCCCGGCTCACCCTCCGCCGCGCAGGCCTAACCACATCCCCCTGCTGGACTCAAACCTCAACCACACTCAACCAACCAAATCCCAAGTCTAAACTAATCTGAAACTTTGAAAGTAACCCAGTCCTTAGACCTAACCTAGCCAAGTGCCAATTACATCCCTATCCTGACCAACCTGACCCAAATATCGGTGGAATCCTGACTTTGGACCTCACCTAGAAGCCCAAAAATGGGGTTTCCCAACTGTCCATGTCCCTCCCCACAAGGCTCTGGCCCCCAGGAACGTCCAACTGCCAGGACAATTGGACAGGTGCATCTCTGCCCTTCCTGCCCCCACGTGCACCCCCAGCCGCACACTGACCGGAAGCCTCAAGGAAGTTTTTCCCCATCTAGCACCCCAGATGAGAACGGGGCAGAGCCCGACCCTGCCTGAGTGTGACTGCTAAACCTCCAACCTGCCACACCCAGAACAAACCCACCAGTGCCGCCTGCAGCGGCCAGCCCGTGTCCTGGTCACCCTGCCCCTTGCCTCCTGGAGCCCCAGCCTCTCTCCAGCACCCCCTGCCCAGGGCTGCGTACTGGCGGCATGCCAGCTCTGATGCGGGCCTATTCCCATCCCCTGGCAGCCCTTAAACTGCAGTGGGACTGGGCAGGGGGCGGGGGGAGCTGCCAGAGGGGGCTGGTGCACGCCTGGAACCCGCGCGTACTGACTGGCGGCCCCAGGGCCTGGCCTGCCTGCTGCTCTGTGTACACACGCATACATGCTGGCAGACATACAGTGACACACGTGCCAAACGCACTCTCAGTGGACACAGGCACACTTCTCCATTATCTACTGATAGACGCACACCGGTGCCAAATCCTGTCCTCAAACACAGACATGCCCACACACACACGTTCACGTCCCCCTCTTTCTGGCCAGGAGCACTTCCCTCCTCCGTTCCCTCTGCCGCCCGTCTGGTGCTCACCCTCGCCGCCCCCCCTCCCCCAGCCCAAGGTGGGGACAGACACCCGAGGGGCTGCCAGCTACCTCCCCCTCCAGTCTGGGCCCGCCCTCACGCATCTCGCCTGTCCTGTCCACAGGGGACTCGTGGGGGATGTTAGCTTGCCTGTGCACCGTGCTCTGGCACCTCCCTGCAGTGCCAGCTCTCAACCGCACAGGGGACCCGGGGCCTGGCCCCTCCATCCAGAAGACCTATGACCTCACCCGCTACCTGGAGCACCAACTCCGCAGCTTGGCTGGGACCTACGTGAGTATCCTGCCTCGGGAGTCAGGGCGTTGGGCAGTGAGCAGAGGCGTGGCGGGGAGAGGATGGTGGAAGGTCCCAGCGGTGGACAGGGTGATGAGGAGGGGCCCTCGAGCTCCACGCAGTCTCCCCGTCTGGCCTGTCTCCTGCCCTTCCCATCTCTGGCCCCAGGACTGGCATGTGGGCAGGACTCGCACCCGCCTTGGCCCACTGCCCCACTGGCTGCCAGCCCGGGCGCCCGCCTCCCCCTGGGGGCTGGGGAAGTCTCCTCTGTTTACACCGTGTTGTGGTGTCTTGCTCGGGCGGGGCTGGGTGGGGATGGAGAGGCCCCACCCCCCATGTCTGTGTTCCAGCTCGCCTCTGCCCCCAGACCTGGGGCCCTGCTGCTTGGACCCATGGGCCTCCCTCTGTCTGCCTCTCCCATCTTAGCTGGGCCTGCTGAGGGGGTCAGGGGAGGGGGCGCAGGGTGCAGAGGGAGGCTGGGGGGCAGGCCAGAGGTGCTCAGGAAGCCCAGGAGGGAGGGAGGGAGGGTCGGAGGAGCTGAGGACCATGGGGAACGGGGCCCTCTTCCCGTGTTCCTCTCACATCCCAGCCCCTACTCTGGAGCCAGGGAAGGAAAAGGAGGAGGTGGCGGGGGAGCTGGCTCCAGCCCCAGGATACACCGAGGAAATTAGCTTGTCTCTGTGCTTGTCAGCGTGTGAACCTCCCCCTGGGCCCTGGCCTAGCCCAGGCCTCGCCCCTCTCCTCCCAGGCACACATCTCCCACATCCCTCTCCTGGGCCCCGGCGGCGCCCCCAAGGGCGGGCAAGGCCTTGGCCCTGGTCCCTGTCCCACACTGTCTCCCACCCCTCCCGCGGCTGCCTCAGCTCTTCCTCCTGCAGCCCTGCGTCCGTCAGCTGAAGCCTTCTTTGGGTGTCCGTGAGGACCCGCATCCCCGATGCCCCGATGCCCTGGGCCCTCGGCCCTCCGCCCGCTTTTCTCTCCCTGGTTCCTCCGCGGTGGGGGAAAACCTTTGCTTTTCTCACTCTGCTACCCCCTCGGGCTCCTGACCCGTCTCTCCCGGCTTCCCCTGCCAGATTTCTTGAGGAGCAGTCTACACCCTGTGCCTCTGCTTCCTCTCCACCCACGCACCGCTTAACCCCCTGCAATCTGGCTCCCAGGCCACAGCACGGTTCTCTCCCAGGTCGCCAGGCCCCTCCTTCCTGCCGGACCCCGGCACTTCTAAAGCGCGGTCTCTCTTTTGCTCTGTTTTGCAGCCGCACTGCTGAGCAAGGCTGCTCCTCCATCTGCTCTTCCTTGGCCTCTGCACTCTCCCGGGCCACCTCCTACCTCTCCAGCCTCGCCTCCTGGCTCCCTGGGGCTCCTCTTCCTCTCTGCCCCGCCCGCCGCCATGGGCGCTCTCCCAAGGCTGCCCACCCAGCCAGTGAGCCTGCGTGAGCAAGTGCGTGGTCCTGTGTGGGTTCTCTTTCTGCACCTCTCCACAGGACAGCTCAGCACCCCCACGGCTTCAACTGTCGCCTCTCTGCACATGGCATCCGTGGTGCAGAAGCCTAGGGCAGCCCAGGAGGCGACAGGGCCAGTGTCAGGGCCGGGTGCCCCTTGGCGGCTGGGCCGGGTGCCCTGCCCTCCTCCTTCCCCATTGCCCTCTCCTTTCCACAGCTGAACTACCTGGGCCCCCCCTTCAACGAGCCTGACTTCAACCCACCGCGGCTGGGGGCAGAGACTCTGCCCAGGGCCACGGTCAACCTGGAAGTGTGGCGAAGCCTCAATGACAAACTGCGGCTGACCCAGAACTACGAGGCCTACAGCCACCTCCTGTGTTACCTGCGGGGCCTCAACCGTCAGGCTGCCACGGCCGAGCTGCGCCGCAGCCTCGCCCACTTCTGCACCAGCCTCCAGGGTCTGCTGGGCAGCATTGCAGGTGTCATGGCGGCCCTGGGCCACCCACTGCCCCAGCCCCTGCCCGGGACTGAGCCCGCCTGGGCCCCTGGCCCTGCCCACAGCGACTTCCTCCAGAAGATGGACGACTTCTGGCTGCTGAAGGAGCTGCAGACCTGGCTGTGGCGTTCAGCCAAGGACTTTAACCGGCTCAAGAAGAAGGTGCAGCCCCCGGCGGCTGCGGTCACCCTGCACCTGGAAGCCCACGGCTTCTGATCTCTGACCTTAGCCATCTCCCCCCTCCCCCTTCAAAGCCCGCTCCCCTCTGGAGGGAGAGGTCTGTGAGCCCACAGACAGACACGTGAGCCTCTGGCCCTCCCCTGGACTGGGGTGGGGGTGTCATGCAATAAGCCCTGTCCCCTCCCCATTTCCCAGAGTCCTACGGGTCTGGGGAAGAGGTGCAATAGGCCTGTTTCCACAGGAAGTGATGCCCCAGGGAGTCCAGAGGGGTTCAGGTTGGTGCCACGGTTCTCACGGTCTCCCGCCTCTCCCCAGCACTTGCCAGTAGCGAGCGGGCCCCTCAAGCAGCCCTTCCAGACGCAGTCCACGGCAGGGTGGGGGCCGCCCGGCGTGTGCCTTCTTGGGGTGGAGCCCTTTGGCTGCTCCACTGCCTTGGATGGGTGCTGCTCTCCAGCCCCCCAGTGTGACACCTCCCGATTAGGAGACAAACATGGCCACGAGTCGAACAAGAAGAGATGGGATTCAAAGTGGAAGGGGCAGGGGCTGCCCTGGAGGTGGCCTGGCGGCCAGAAGAGGTGGGGCTGACGGCAGAGGACGGACCAGACCCCGCAGTCCCCAGCGTCACGGTGCCTCCCCGCGCCCTCTCCCAGGCTATCTGTGGCTTGCCCGGGCTGGGGAGGGCGGCCACGGCCACGGCCGCGGCCACGGCCACAGGCTTTCCTGAAAGTTTACATTGCGGTAGCATTTTGGGGTGTGGGGTGGAAGCTCCCCCAGGCCCTTCCCCCAGCCCCACCCACTCATGACTCTTAAGTTTGTTGTATTAATATTTATTTATTTGGAGATGTTATTTATTAGATGATATTTATTGCAGAATTTCTATTCTTGTATTAACAAATAAAATGCTTGCCTCAGAACCTGGTCTCGCTGCCAGCGCCCGTCACGGCCTTCCCTGGCCCTTGCCTGCCCAGCCCCAGCCTGCCCTGGTTGAGGGGAGTGCAGAGGGCTTGGGCAAGACTCTCCTCTCCGACAGCCAGCACAGCTCAGACCGGTCCCGTCCTGCTCCTGTCCCAAGCCCGGGACCCTCAGTCCCCCAGCGGCCTCCTGCCGCCCTGGCCCAGGCTTCCTCGCCCCGGGATGGCTTGGCTGCTCTTAGGTCTGTCGTCCTGCCTTGGCTTTCTCCCTCCACGTGGTAAGCAAAATTGTTCATCAGGGGCCGGCACTGTGGCACTGCGAGGAAAGCCGCCGCCTGCAGTGCCACATCCCACACGGACACTGGCTCGAGTCCCAGCTGCTCCACTTCCCATCCAGCTCCCTGCTGATGTGCCTGGGTGAGCAGAGGAGGATGACCCAAGTCCTGGGGCCCCTGCACCCGCATGGGAGACCCGGAGGAAGCTCCTGGCTCCTGGCGTCGGCCCGGCCCAGCCCGGCCCTGGCCGTTGTGGCCATTTGGGGAATGAGTCAGCAGATGGAAGATCTCTCTCCCTCCTCTCTCTCTCCCTCTCTACCTTTCGAATTAATTAATTAATTTTAAGAATATTTTAAGAAAAGCTGATGGTCAGGCCCTCCGGGGCTCTCCCCAAGTAGTCAGCCCTTAGGCGTTCAGTCCCCAGCTTCTCTGGGGCCCCAAGGTTTCACCTCGGACCTCTCCTTTCCCCGGGAGGGCGACAGACTGTGGCCGAGCCACCATCGTGAGCCGAGGCTCTGCCCCGTCTGTCTAACAGATGAGCATACTCAGCGGGGAGAATTCATGCTGGACGGCTGGGGGGTGGGTTCGGTGCGACTTGGGGTGACCCAAGCCTCAGACCCAGTTCAGAACCTGGCTGAGTGAATTTACACAAATTCAGGCTTCGGTCTCCCATCCCCCCACTAGGATGATGCCGAGAGCCTGGGCGAGCTTGCTGGGAGGGGTAAGTTTCAGGAGCTCCCGACGACGGGGCTGGCTCGGGGTGAAGACCTGCTAGTTGTGGGACACGGGGTACACAGTTTTTTGTTTTTTGTTTTTTGTTTTTTTTTTTAAAGACATTGAGAATTTGAAAAGCAGAGTGTCACAGGCACGCAGAGATCTTCCCTCTACTGGCTCACTGCCCAAATGCCTGCAATAACCAGGGCTGGGCCAGGCTGGAGCCAGGAGCCAGGACCCCACCCTGGTCTCCACGTGGGTGCAGGGGCCCAAGGATCTGGGCCGTCCTCCACTGCTTTCCTAGGCGCAGTAGCAGGGAGCCGGATCAGAAGTGGAGCAGCTGGGACTCGAACCGGCATTCAGATATGGTCTGGTGGCGTCACAAGCAGTGACTTGACTTGCTGCACCACAGCACTTGACCCGACACTCAGCTTTCATAAGGGCTCCTGGACACAAGGCCTCGGCCGGGAAGCAACAGAGAACAGTAATGTCAACTGGTTGCCAAGCAACCTGCCTGTCACAGGGCTCAGGAGGGTAGTTTAAGAAAGACCTAACCTGGGGGCCAGCGCTGTGGCATAGTGGGTAAAGCCGTCACCTACAATGCCAGCATCCCATGTAGGCACTGGTTCAAGTCCTGGCTGCTCCACTTCCAATCCAGCTCTCTGCTATGCCCTGGGAAAGCAGCGGATGATGGCCCAAGTCCTTGGGCCCCTGCACCCACGTGGGAGACCCGGAGGAAGCTCCTGGCTCCTGGCTTCGGATCAGCACAGCTCCGGCCGTTGCGGCCAATTGGGGAGTGAACCAGCGATCTCTCTCTCTCTTTCTCTCTCTCTCCCTCTCCTTCTCCCTCTCCTTCTTTCTCTGTGTAACTCTGACTTTCAAATAAATAAATCTTAAAAAAAAAAAAAAAAAACCTAACTTGGCTCCTGCCCTCCTGGAACCCGGAACCCATACTGAGAGGAAAAACCCTCTTTCCTGAAATCCTAAGGGACAAAAGCACACACACACGATGTGGACGAGGAGGAGCTCCAGGCAAGGAGGAGCTACTGGATTTGGGGGTGCAGCCTGGCCAACCCAGGCTCTTCAGGTCACAGCAGAGGACGTGGGCCGCCTCCCTGAACGGGCAATGGGAGCAGCAGCCTGCGGGAGGCCAAGCACTGAGCGCGGGCTGTCAGGACGGAGACCAGGAAGCCGTGTCCTGTCGTCCTCCCTCCTAGCGCCCGCGGAAGGCACTCTGGGAGAGGGAACGGATGCCCTTCCCCCAAACGCCAGAATACAGGGCAGAGCTGTAAGAAGTGCAGACAGACAGACCCATGCAAAATACTGTGGCAACCAAGGACGGCGCGCCGGCGCTGAGTTTGGGGTAAGGCCCTCAGGCTGTAAGCCTGCGGGGGAGGAGACGGCCCCTGCTGCCCTCTGGATGGCCAGTGCCCACCTGTGCCCAGCACACGGCGCATGCTCCACACTGCCGACTGACGCCCTTCACGGAGCCGGGCGGGATCAGCCTCACGGAGGTGGGGCGGGGTACAGTGAATTAGCCTGTGATGACCTGAGGGCAGCCCCAGGATTTCTTCACCTTGCACCCCCACAGCATCTCTGCACAACGCCTGGCGCTGTAAAGCACTCTGCTCTGGTGCCAATCCAGGACTGCCGAGACAGTACTCTGGCGGCAGAATTGGAAGGAGGAAGCCCCGGGGGATGGAGAAGAATCCACGGCTCTGGCAGTTAGGGAGCCAAGGGGGACCCCTGAAAGAGCAGGTGGGAGGCAGACACCAGGTGCGGAGGTGGCGGGTGTGGCGGGAAGAAAGGCACGGGGGTGCACACACGTCCTCCGAGCTGGCGGGGGGAGGCACCAAGGGAGGTGGTTCGCTTTGTGCTCGGGACTCGGGAGGACCGAGGTGATGTCAGCAGCCCCACGCTTGGTGTGGCCAGAGGTGGACACAGCCAAGAGAGGGCGCTCCCCCGGGCACAGGCTGGCGGGGCAGGGACGTGGGGGGGGGCGCTGAGTGTCCCCGTTCTGAGTGGTGGGGCTGCTGCGGGGATGCACTGGGAGCAGGGCTCCCCACAGCGCGCTCGGGGTGCGGACAGCCCGTGCACAGGAGAGCCCATGGGGCTCCCTCAGCGGCCCCTCTGGGTGTTGGCCCTGAGTGCCACGGGACAGGCAGCTCCCAGAGGTCGCCCGTGTGCTCTGTGAGTGTCCTTGTGCCCCCTGGGATAAGTTCCCTCCGCTGTCAAGGTGCCACTTACCGGGGGCCAACATAAGAATCCAGAAGACCTAGGGCTTGAAAGTGACAGCAGGGACTTCACCTCTGCCAGCGCTCAGGTCCCCAGGGACGAGGGAGCGGAGGGCCTGCTCCCTGTCATGCCAGACAACACGCGTGGGACAGAGATCTCGCCGTCACCCTGGGGCTCGGAACCACGCCCAGCTTGGAGAGCAGCGGCCCAAGATGGAGGCAGCCGCTTCCGGGAGGGCGTGCGTGGGTACAGAGGAGGCTCTGATGAGAGATGGCGGCGTCGGACGTCCAGGGCAAGGGTCCCCCGGGTCTGTGGGGAGACTCACTGCAGCCTCGCCCACGGCCACCTCGTGGGGAAGCGCCGCGGGCAGGGGCGCTCTGTTCCCCCAGCCTAGAGGGCAAGGGCCAGTGATTCAGGCCTGGCTGGGCGCTCCGAAGGGCAGCTCCCTGGAGGCTGCCCCTTCCCCTCTGGAGCCACAACTGTCCCTGCCTTTGTCCCTTCCATTCTCGAAGTCCCTGACTCAGCCTGGTCCCCAATTTCCCAGCAGGGCACAAAGCCCTTGTCAGGGGTGTGCCGGGGCCGGAGGGAATAACAGAAGGCTTTGAGCCCAACGTCCAGTCCTTTCCCGTGTCACCCCTCAGGGTTGCCCAGACTCTAGTTCAGAGGTCGCCGCCAGGCCCCTCCCCAACTTGCCCCATCTCCTAGGCCGGGCTCATGGGGGAGGGTGGGAACCGTTAACTAGGACCTTCCTCCCAGTCGTCCCAGCTGGACAAAGTCTGACACCTGGTGGCCAGGGTGAGGAATGGCCGAAGGGCCTCTGCAAACCTGCCCAGAACTTCTCTAGAGCCAGCATGGCCCAGAAGGGGGGGTGACCCGAGGAGGTGGGGGGACAGGGCAGAGGATAAATCAGATGGGCGGAGCCCCTTCCTCCTCTAGGCTCCTTCCCCTTAAGCCTGCTAAGCCAAGAACTTGGACCAAGGGGAGGAGGGGTGTTCGGGAGGGTAGAGGGCTGGGAGGACGGGCCCCAGGCCGAGGCGTCCTATCTCCTGTGCCGGCCCCCTCTCCAGCTCAGGGTGGGTGGCAGGGCCCAGGGGCCAGAGGAAGGCAGGCACTGGGGAGAAGGCAGAGCTGGACGCAGCCCACAGCCTGCCAGGCTCCAGCCGGCTGCTCCCCTCCCTCCGCTGCACCGTGCCGAGCCAGGCCTCATCCCCCGCCCCCTCGGAGCCCTCAGCGGTGGGCCTCAGCCCTCAGGAGAGTGCTGGGCTCCTGCTCCCGTTCTTTTCTCTGCGGGGCTTCCTGGTCCTGCCCCTGAAGCAAAGGCCTGGGATGCTCCCGGGCCAAGGTTCAAAGGTCACCACCAGCATCTTGGTGTCAAGACCGGCACAAGGAAGCTATGTCCCAACTCAGACCTCTGGCCGGCCCTCCAGCCCAAAGCCAGAGCCTCGACAGGCTCCAGGATGAGGTGGTAGGAGGCTGATGGCGCTAGGGAGGAGAGGGCCTGAGGCTGCAGTGCCCCTTAGTGGTCCAGACACGGAGTAGGGGGAGACCAGCGGGACAAGAGTGGTCCCCACCCCCGGGGTGCCAATGCCACCCTGGGGTGCGACCCCACTGTTCCCGGAGCAGGAGAGGAGGGAAGGCCTTCGGGGGAGGGGGCTCCCTCAGCTCCAGCCGATGCCGGCACGCGACCTGCCCACTAGGACGCTCTTCCTGGAGCTGAGGGGCACGGAAGTCCCTGGGCGACATCTTCCTGACTGGGTGGGCGAGGTTGGCAAGGCCCGA